TCTCCTCCTCCCGCCAGGGCAACCCTTTTACCATATATATCAATGCGCAGGATAGAAGAACGCTACCTCATGGCGGACTAGATCAAGAGCCAACATATCCGCACAGATCAACATGTTCCGAGCGTACGTCGCTCGAGAAGCAACAAGACTACTGCAAATTACACAAATAGAATACCAGTAAGAATGTCGATGGCATAGCGGGCGCTCCTTTCGACAACATCAAGCCGACGTCGGCGGGATAGCACATCGAGATTGCATTTGGTGATATGTTCGGCGGAAGTGGATTTGTTATTGGGTAGGCAGTGTTGTGTGTGGAGTGTGTTGTAGGGTGTACACAGGTGCGCTTGGGTAATAATTATTACATAACAGATAACCACATATAAACTACCATATACTAATAACTATCGCGTGGATGTCGAGGGTGGAAGTAGTGTGATGTGTGAGTGAGTTGGTAGTCTGTACTGCTGATGGCTAAAATAACAATGACAATAACTAAATAAGTCTGTGTAATGATAAAAGATGGTTTATTATAGTGATATTAAACGCTGACGATGATAATAGATACTAATAAGAATTGATATCAATAAATATAATTAATGATGATAAGTGAATAATTATAAATAATAGAAATATATGAAGAATGTTCTACAAAAAGTACCAGTATAAGCAAAAACTATCAGTATAAGGCATAATCCTCAAGAATTATAGACAAACATAATCCAGTAGAAAGCTTAATAATGTTAATAATGAGCACTTTTGCTAATGTAATGCTTTAGTAAATGATAATTATTATCTAAAGATTAAATAATAATGATAATAGATGAATATAATTATAACAATAATTAATGTTAATTGGAATATCAAAAAACAGATTTAACGATACTCATAATAAAATAAATATAAGATCAGTATACATGTAATTATACAAGAGTACAACACATATATGTAGGTGGTGGAGTAGTGTGTGTGTGATGAAGCACCAAGTGTGTTGTGTGTGTGTATGATGTGTGTACAATAATATATATATATATAATATAATATATAATAATATATAATAATAATAATATAATAAATATAATATATATATATACATATATAATAATATATATATATAATATATAAATACATAATATATATATATTATATTTATATATATATATATATATATTATATACATATTAATATATAGACTAATAATTTTTATTTAGATATATATTAGTATAATAAATAAATATGTAACTAAGATAACTATTACATATACTATATATTAGGTATACACATATATATAACAAAGCACACAACACACACATATAGCGGCAACCAAGCGCGACCCAACGAGCGCCCTAACGCTGAGCCTTTCCTTCCCTTGCAGGTCAACGGCCCCTCCGTCACCTCCTCCCAGAATGAGCGCCAAGAGCGTCATCCACGTATCGACAAGGTCTTCCTTCCGGAGAAACTCGTACAACAACTACCTACCTACAAGACGACCAGCTCCTTTCTCCTCCCGGATCTGGAGAAGCTCTATTATCCTCGTCTCGTCCTCCTCCTTCCTCTTCCTGGGTCGAGCAAGTCCTCGCCGCAGGACCGTACAAGAAGACAGTACCTTAGCGGAGACTTACTGGACGAAGGCAGGGATGACAGCCCTGCCTGCCTTCCACAAGGTACCGTGTTCCCCTCCTCCTCCTCCTCCTCTCCCCACCGCTAGAGCCAAACGCAGGAAGACCTCGAGGGGATACAGGAGAAGAAAAAAGCATTCTCTTCTCCCTCCTCCACCCGCCCCTCAAGAGTAACAAAACCACTAGCCCAAACTACCTCCCCAGATGACACTTGAGTAACACCCCTGACGACTCCTCCTTTGGTGAACTGGAAGAGACTCACCTCCAGGGCTCGGGATTCTCAGCACGCGAATCGGAGGCCTCACAAAATTCTCTCACCACTAGTACCTCCCACTCTTCCTCTTCGTCCTCCTCCTCTTCTACTCCCTCCTCTTCTACTTCCTCCTCTTCTTCTTCCTCCTCCTCCGCCGCCTCCTCCTACAGTGGCCAGGACTCATTGACGTCCGGAGCCTTACTCTACCACAGAGCCAGGACTAACCAGGTCTTCCTCCCGAGCCTCCTCACGCAGGACTCACAAAGGCAAAAAACATGGTGGTGGGTCCTACACTGAACGTGAAGGTTCTTACTCCTCCTCTTCATATACACCATCATCTTCCTCATCGTCCTCGTCACACATTATGACTTTGAACACACAAATAACACGGACTGAGGAGGGTGAAGCCAAAGACTCGGACACAGGCCACAAAACATATGGGAGTTCCACAACTTACGGCTATGACGATGCCTCACTACACAGTGGCAATGACGTGTATGAGGACACGTCTTCCTCACGTCAAGATGAGTCAGGTTCCCATGGCATTTCATCCTCTTCCAGGGACAGAGGGAACACAAACACACACGACAGATCTTCAACGCATGTCAGTGACGAGTTTGAGCTCAGCAGACGAAGTGAGTTGCCAATAACAAACAGCAATGATATAAGTGAATCAGCTGTTTCATCATCTGATTTAGGACGCAATGAATTAGATTTGTCATATGATGGAAATGAAGAACGGAGAACGAGTTCGGACTCTGATGCACGAGTCGACACCACTACACAATACACTCGGTATGCTGGCACTCGCACAAGATACAGAGGGAGTAACACAGACACACGACGCACTGGAACTGATACAACAACATACAGGGGATCTGATACTAGATATACAGGATCTGACTCAGATAGACGACACACTGAAGCAGATACCAGATACACCGGTGTTGATACTAGATACACTGAAACTGGTACAAGGTATACAGGTACTGAAGCAGATACACGACGCACTGGAACTGATACCAGATATACCGGTGTTGATACTAGATACACTGAGACTGGTACAAGGCATCCAGAAGTGAAACGACACACGACATGCTGGAACCGATATAGAAAACACTGACACCAGATATACAGGATCTGACACAGATAGACAACACACTGAAACAGATACCAGATACACAGGCACACTGGTACAGACACTAGATATAGGGGGTACAACACCCAGATATACAGGTTCATGACCGATAGAGAACGCATCTGGATACTGATACTAAGCATACACAGGAAACTGGTACAGATACACTGAATCTGATGCAGAGACTGAACAGACACACGACGCACTGAACTGATACCAGATATACAAATCTGATGCAGACAGACGGCGCACGGAAACAGAACCAGATACACAGGAACTGAACCAGATACACAGAATCTGACGGCAGACAGACAACGCACTGAAACAGATACCAGATACACTGGCACAGAGTATATAGATATAGGGTACAGACACCAGATATACATTTCTGACACACAGATAGACGACGCACTGGAACTGATACCAGATACACTGGTACTGATACACGATACACTTGCAAACTGGTACTAGGTATACAGGACTGAGGCAGACACTCGATACACTGGGACTCTACAAGATACAGGGGCACAGATATCAGATATACAGGTTCTGACACAGATAGACGACGCACTGAAACTAACACAGGGTATACAGGGAGTGATGCACACACCCGAAACAATGATACAAGATACACAGGCACTGACACAGACACACGCTACACTTTGACAAGACATACTGGAACTGATATGAGGTACACGGAACTGCGCACAGACGCACAGCACTCAAAGGAGATACAAGCCACACTGGAGAAGATACAAGATACACAGGGACTGACCGAGGCACCCAACATACTGGAACAGACACACGATATACTTTAACAACTAGAAGGTACTATAGAAATGGTACAGAAATTACGGAACAGAGCAGACTCATCTGGTACACTGGAAATGATTCCAGGTATGCAGGGAAAACACAGATACAAGGTACCAAGGGACAGACATACGATACAATGAACAGACACACGCTACGGTATTGGAACAAACACACATTATTCTGGTACAGGCACAAGATACACAGAAAATGGTACACGTTATTCTGGCTCAGGTGTAGACTCAATACTTGATTACTTCAACCGTACAGGTTACACTGGCTATGCCCGTGGTTCTGAACAGGTGCAGACTCAACACTTCTTACTTCAACCGAACAGGCTACACTGGCTATGCCGGTGGTTCTAGCACAGGTGCAGACTCGAGGCTCAGCTACTTCAACCGAACTGGCTTCCCTGAAGGCTCTGGCTCTGGTATTAACAATGTAGCTGGTGCACGTGGCGGCTACTCTACTTCCACCTCCTCCAGGACTTACACTTACCATTACTCAGGTGGCTCCGGACAGCCAGGTGCTCGCTAACGCATGGGGATCTCCAGCCACTGCCCACTGGTGGCTTTCAGAACTTACAACTCAACCACCATTCACCCGTGAGACTACAATGTCCAAGCACCCAGATGGGGGAGGTTCAGTTACGTGGGCGCATCCCTATGGTTCGGATGTGATAGGACACACTGATACAGTAGGTGATGATAAGGCTCTGCCATTCACCCTCGGCAGGCAGAGTCTGGCACAGCGTCAGGAAGTACCACCCAAGGGGGGACTGCCGGTTTGAACTAACACCTACCACACTACAAATACTCCTCGCATGCTGAAGATAATGGGCCTATAAGGAGACAATGCTGTTGCTATGGGTATCAGCCCGAAGTAGTAGAAGTAGCAGCCACAGAAGCAACAGCCATAAAGTATGCCGTCAAACCCCACTACGCGTCAGCTCGACCTACCCAGCCACTCTGCGAGATCTCATCCACGCAGCACCCATAAGACCTCACACACTTCTACGGCCAGACTTCGTTAATATACTGAATACACTACACCCACCTNTATATATATATATATATATATATATATATATATATATATAAACAAGCTGTGTGGATATATTTCAGTGATGGTGATTACCTCCAGAAAAACCAAGTACAGAGATAGGTATAAGTGAAAAAGTCAG